CCTAAATTCTTGCATAGATTAGCAATAGAAGAAGCCATATCAATAACAACCACTCTCTTGGCTCAGTACGAAAGGCGTAAAGAAAATTTTTTTGAGGAGCTTGACTATGTTATAACAGACACAGTCAGGGGAACGGTTGTTGATTTTTTTACCGTTTGGCTTCCTGCCCCAACTATCTCTTTCCTCTCATATGGTGATGGAATGATTGTGCCAGACAACATGGATGCTTTAAAAGGTCTCCTTGGTTCAATTCCGGATAATGCATTTCAGAAGAATCTTGCAGGGAAGGATTGGAACCTCAGTCACAGAATTGCTTCTGTGCTTCTTGGTGGCCTGAAACTTGCTAGTGTTGGATTTATTTCCAGTATAGGAGCAGTGGCTGCCTCAAATATGTTGTATGCTGTACGCAAATTCATTAATCCAGAATTGGTTGCTAAACAACTAATTAAAAGATCACCAATTCTCAAAACAGCGGCTGTCTATGGATGCTTTCTGGGGATATCTGCAAATCTGCGTTATCAGGTAGGAGGAGTGCTAGTGGCACAAGTCTTAAGTTTTTGGATTTGGATCTCATTTCTCAAGTTGAACTACATTGAATGATGGATGCATCAGTGTCTTGAAGTTCTTGACTTCTTTAATAATGAAGTGCATTTTCTGGTAGTCTGTGTAATTGAGGTAGTTAATTGGTTACATCATTGATTGTGGATCACGCATCACTGCAGTCTCAACTCTACCTAAGAGCAGACATTGAAATTTTTGTGATTCCCTATGACTAAGGCTCTGTTTGGATTAGCATTTGATCCAAACAGAGCTTAAACTTAGGTGCTGCTTTGGCAGTGCTACTATTTCTCCCCTTGATCTTATTGTTCATGGATATGCAATAACAGCCTTCCAGAGTTAGTATTCACACTAACACCAATAAGTTCAGATTTGTTTCCAGAGTCAGTATTCACACTAACACCAATAAGTTCAGATTTGTTTCCAGTTTCTGTCGTATCATTTGCATTGCTCAACTTATTAAGACTACACCGTTGTTGTCGATCCCCTTTGATGCCTATCCGACAACCTAACTGTTCTTACATTCTCTCCTCATTTTAGAAATGAATGTGCAAAAATGATTAAAACTTATGATGAAGACACAAGACAGCTCTTTTTTACTCCCAAGTTAAAAGTTTAGCCCTTAATCCCACCTACTGTTGTTTTGAACTGGGATTAACTGTCTCTGGGGAAAGATACCTGTTTGTACTTCTACTTTTCTTAGTATTTGCTTGATATTGACATTAAATGGACAATACTGCAGGTCATTGCTGGAATAGTAGAGCATCGAATCTCGGATGAATTTTCTTCCCAGATAATACTTGTGAATATGCTTTCTTTTCTTGTCCGTACGATTAATTCCTATTGGGGAACCCAGGTTAGAATCATATTCACTTTAATTTTTGGGTTTTCATTTGATCTTAACTTTTTATTTTGTTTATCTATAAATCTCTGAAGCGATCATGATGTGCCTTAGCAACTGTAGAACAATCCATCTGAAAAAGAATGTCATGAAAAACCATACGATCACATCATATTATTAATTCAAACCTATGCTCCATGGATGATTATTTTAATTCATCTTGTATAAGAGAATGATATTGAACTGATTTTGATGCTCAGTCTTTGAGCTACCATACTTCATTGAGGTTGAACTGCATGAGTTTCTATCTTACACTGATAAGTGGTAGGTTGGTTGGTTTTCATTAACGACTGTCTCCTGCATCATGGGCTTGATATATCACAGATTGAAATCACTTTGTCTGCTCCATCTTCTTTACCTATCCATCCACCACTATCATGTTCACTATAGGCAGCAGCACTGCCCCTCTCCTAAAGCATAGGAAATCCAGATCATTATATTCTGTCCTCATCATTAAATATTGTCTTAAATTCTGCAGCAATGGGTTGATCTTGCACGCTTTTCGGGATTACAAACTCGGAAGAGTGAACCAACTTCTTACCAAACTTCAGATTCTTCAAATCATAGTGAAGTGGTATGCAACACTACAGAAGAGGTCAACATTGATGAAGAATCAATTAGGTGATTATTTTTCTTCTCTTTGCTTGCTAATATCTAAATTCTTGTTGCTTTCATTGTCTATCCCTCCAAGTTTTTCCTCCTTCAAATGGGGTTACCATAGGACGGGACACTAGCAGAATTTGCATAATGCAGCAAGAGTACATTGATATTTCACATGATTAGCAGTCAAATTTACTCAATACAGCTCAAAACTATGTGATAGCATAATGAATGGAATGTGATTCTTGATTGAGGGATATATATAGTCTGTAAAACAATTGGGAAATTAGCTTGCCTAGCAAAGCCGTGGCATGTACACACTAGTTTGTTCTCGACTTCTCATATCTTGTGATACCTTGAAAGTTTGTGGTATATAGTACACACTAAAGTTCAGTCTCTTTTTATGATTCATCTACTGCCTTGGAAATTGAATTCAACAGCCACTATGTTCACTTTCTGACCAAGAATAACAAGATAAATATTGGGGTTTGCATAACAAGTAGGTTTTCTTTGCCTATGTGAATCCTTGAATTGCTGAATAGAGAAGAAAGGGTTCAGAGAAGAAACAACAACGATGCACCGAACAAATCAAAACTGCTTCTAAGCCGATATTATTGCATTTCTGACCGTATTCTGTCGAAGTGTCGATTGGGAAGAGGGATAGATTTCATTTTTATTTTTGATATATCATAGGGTTAACTGTGTGGTAATATAGAAGTTTAAACTTTTAATTTTGATTTTAGATTAAGGTTTTAATATAACGGGTATTAACTCAACTAAGTTATTGTTGATAGAGAAGAAATTAAAATTATCTTGTTCTAGAAAGAAAATGGGTTGGACACTCGTGTCATTCACGCCTTGCCAATGGTGGGTAAGAAATTGACCGCGGCAGCCACTTTGGCAGGTAATGAGCAATTGTGAAGAACACGACAATTGAAAGAAAATGGGTTGGCAAATACTCAATTGCTGTCGAAACCAGATTAATTACAAAATCCAGAAGAAATAAAGCATCTGGAAAATCCCCTTCATTCCGCAGTCTCATCATGAAGATGCTATTGTTCAATGCGTCTTCGTTTCTTCTGCTTTTCTTTTTGCCCTTCACTGGCGTTTTATAAAAGAGTAGCGTAAGAAGAAGTTGTGATCACTAGGACCTTCTAAATAATGAATCTAAGCTCGAGAATGAAGCTTTTGCATCAGCTTGTGTACCCTACTCACTCTAAATGATTTGCTGCTGCACCACTAAGACTGAAACTGTGCTACGTATGTCTGAGGAAGCTAGAAGTTCCCCGATTGCTCCTAATTCCGGCAACTCACTCCATTCAGATAGACCAGCTGTAATTCGTGAGCCAGTTCCATGGCGTCTCCCAACCAAGGTTAGATCAAAGTTGTCCCCTTCCAGCAACGACCCAATAAATGATGTTGTGTTGACACCATCTTCAACAATCACCTCCTTGTACATTAAATTTGCGTTTTTTGCGCTCTCATGCTTGAATGCTCGCAATGCTGCATTATCCATCGAATCATCCCACTCTTTTTGGGAGTCATCATTCAATGCAAGTAACCTGAAAGTTGTTAGGTGAACAGTGGTGCTTCCTGTCATCCTACGAGCAAGAGCTAGCGCCTCTCTGTCATCATTCCCTCCTTCGTAAATCACGGCTATTTGGTAACTTGGTGATAATGCCGAAATTGATGGATATCTTGCTCTGCTACGATCAATTAAAATGCCCACAGAACAAGGGGCCTTCTTTAGAACATTACAGTTTAGGGTCCTCAAGTTTTTGCTATCTGCAGTCATCATGCCCTTGTTATTCCATTTCCTATGAAATAGAAGTCTTATTAAGACTACTGAATTAACAAAGGCAACCCAGCAAATGTCCTCATGCATTAGCTTGGCAGGTGACATTGCTTTGAAGACTCGCACGTTCACTAGCTTCTTATGCTGTGACTCAAAGTAATTGAAAACATCAATGATGGGTTGCCAACGAAATCCATCAGAACAAGAACTCTTCTGGCCTCGTTGGTGGGTTAGGAGGAGTGGGGTGGATCCACCTTTGAGCTCTTCCAAATATAGCCCGAACACAGACATGGGACTTTGTTTAGTAGAAATGGAAATTTCAAGCAGCTTGATAGCTGCCAAGGCATCGTCTTGCCTTTCTGCACAAGCAAGTACTCGAACACCATCATTGAAACAAGAGTTCAAAACGTTTCTCTTCTGGTAGCCAGCATATGTTTTTGAAGGATCGTGAAGCTTTCTGACCATAACTGGAAAAACTGCCACTACTAATACGACCACTAAGATTGCTATAGTGTATATAGGTCACTAGGGATAGACTGATAAATGAAAAAAATTAAGAGGGAAAGAGGGGATCACAGAGTCAATAGTCTTGTCCAATGAAAAGCATAGGAAAGATCCTTGAAGGGATCCTTACCATCTTCTCAGAAGCTTTGTTGATTATAGCTAATTCAAAGACGCCTTTGGCTGTCAATATGAGTGCAAGAGCAGCAGCATCTTTATGAGGCATCCTGAAACAAATAGCAGATGCAAAGCACAAAGCCATTTTGAACAATAAACCAAAGGTAACTAAGAAAACTAAATACAAAGGTGGCCTCCTTTCTAATTCCCACAAATTTGTTTTGTATCCACAGATGGTTGCCAGGAGCGGCAGCATCAAGCCTGATATGATGGCATCTAATTTCTCTACAACGACTGATGCTAAAGGAGGTCCTGTTGGCACTGCCAACCCAAGTGTAAAAGGTCCATATAAAAACTGCAGCCCTACATTATCACCAGCTACTGCTACCGACAACAACGCTATGACAACGAGGCAAATGTAAGAATCCTTTACAGGCTTCCCTTCAGGTGTTCTTTTGACGATCCAAAACATCATTGGGAGCAGGACAGCAAGGATAAACACCACAAGAGATATAGACAGAAACATAGCCTTCATTGCTACACTTGATGATGACATTGCCAATAGGTGAGACCAAGACAGCAAAGATACCATGATTACAGTCATCAGATTAGCAACCAGGGCCGATGATAGAGCAAGGTGTCCCAGCTCGGAGTTAATGATCTTGAGATGCATCAGAAGGCAGGCCACCGTAGGAAATGAGGTAATCATTATTGCGCCAGAAACGATTCTAACCCATGTAGTATCGTTTGGGGGGATATTGTCCACTTTCAAACTGATATGTTTAGCAATGGACAATAGCACGAAAGATGGGAATATATTGGTTATGGAGCCTATAATCCATTCTCTTTTACCTGATTTCATCATAAGCCCTACATCCATTTTCATCCCGATCATAAACATAAAAAACAAGTACCCAAACCTTGTCAAAGTAACCAGAAGTTTTATAGATGACAACGGGAACAAAGCATGAGAAAAATTAGGATAAAACCGCCCCAGAAAAGAATTTCCAAGAAACAGGCCTGCCTGGGAATCACAAAACGTCAATGTGCATTCCTCAGTCAGTAATATAATCAAACACATCATGGGTATCCCATTTTTAAACTAGGCAAATTATGAAAACAGAGGAAATAAATTTCCCATGAGATCATTAGAAAAGGAAGTGCAGAAAAGTACCAGAAATTCGGAAAGGAGACGGGGAAAATGGAGGCGCCTGAGACAAAGGTGTATGGTGCTGGTGAGGATGAAGATTAAGGCCAACTGAATTTCCAGAAGAAGTAAGGGACGTTTTGTGACGATATTTTCCCCAGATTTTAGGTTCCAAAACCCCTCTGAAATAACAGGTTGAAATCGCCAGCACGTCCCATCATCAATGCTGTATTGGGGTTCCAAGCCATCATCTGAGGCCATGACTGACAATCGCCCATGCAACCGCCTCCCTCCACGCTCTTGGCTTCCTTAAACCCAGAAACCGAATGCGATGAACATAGATTTAGAAGGAAAACGAAAGAGGAAGGAGATCGGGATAGTGGAAACCGTGGATGAAGGGAACAGTGGTTTCGGAGAGGATCAATGGAGGTGATGGAGGATGGGATTTCTGACCAATTTTTAGAAACTGGTTTTCAGACACTTTGCCATACATTTTGGAGTACTTATGGGGGCTTCTGTGTGGGAAGACATGGCCGCCTAGGCAGTTGTTAGTTACAAACAAGTGTTTTTCCAAACGGTCTTTAGATACTACTTTTGGAAAATGGGAAGTATTATTACGTATTTTTGGGTTTTTCTAAAATGTGTTAAGTCACGAGTTAATTATGTAATTACTACACCTTTTACATTAATTAATATTGTAATCTTTTAGGTTAAATACACTTTTTTATCGTAAATTTATATTGAAAAAATAAAAATTAATTTTTAATTTATTAATTATTCAATTAAATTCACTTAATATTAAAATTAATATTAGGTTTTATATTTTTTTATATACATTTATAATAAAATATACTTTTAATCTGTATCCTTAAGATATATGTTTGAAAATTCCTAAAAGTAAAAATAAAAGTTAACATTTATTTAAATAATTACTAAATTAAAATGATTTATATGGTAATTATAGCAAAATTAATGATAATTTTTATATTTTTTAATATTAATTAATATAAAAAATATAATAATTACTCTTTTAATTTATGTCTTTAAGAGTACAAATTAGATAAACTCTTATTTTTTATAATTACTAAATTAAAATGATTTATATGGTAATTATAGCAAAATTAATGATAATTTTTATATTTTTTAATATTAATTAATATAAAAAATACAATAATTACTCTCTTAATTTATGTCTTTAAGAGTACAAATTAGATAAACTCTTATTTTTTTATTAAAAAATTATCTTAAAATTATATACATGGAGTAGTTGTAAAATTCATTTTCTCCAATTTAAAGTAAATTATAAGGAAAATTAATTTCGAGTTAATATATAAAGGGATTTGATACTTTTCGCTCACTTTATTGACCCATTTTTTGATTTTTTAAGAAAGTTAATAAGAAAATAACTCTTATGAATTTCTTAATTTAAGTTTAAATGAATGGCGTTTAATCAAATCAAGATGTGAATTTAATATAGTATACAAAAATTGACACATGATGTCAACTAACCATTAAAAAAATGTATAAGAACTACAATCTTATTAGTAAGTTTGGCTAACTTATCAAGTTTTCAGTTAAATATTCAAGGTAAAACTCTAATATTAAAAAGTCTGTTATAAAATAGATATTCAAAATATTTAATTAAGAAATTTTTAATCAAACTATAATGGTGGTGTTTGGCTCTCAATAATAACTTCCTCTTAACTATGAAATTTTAAGATTATTTATGTATTTAAATATAATAAAAAAAAAAAAAGGAAGAAAAAAGAGAGATTATTTTGGTATTTAACATCAGCCCAACACCAACGGGAGGTTAGATCAAGTGGTAAGCGGTTTGTTCTAGCTTAAACAAGGTCTCGAGTTCGAAACCTTGTGAATGCAGCAGCCATCGCTGGGAGACTCACCCATCATTTTCAGGTACGCGACGCGAGTTGGATCCAGATTAATCGGGGTAAAGCCTCGGATACCGGACGAAAAACCGAACATCAGCCCAACAATTTGGGCTGAATTCTGGATAAAAAAAAAAAAAAAGCTCTGCTTAACTCAACTTACTTGTAAGTTGTAGCTTTATTGTGTAGCCTGGGCTGGGCTGTAATGACAATTTCCCAGTGTTACATTAACGCTAAATGTTTGGGCCACGAACTATTAGCCCACGAGGCTGGTTCCAGGAGCAAAACTAGAAAAGAAATGGTGTAGATAAGGATGCGAAATTTGTA